AAAAAATAAAATAAAAAAAATTATTTTAAAAAAAGTTACTTAAAAAATAAAATAAAAGCTTGTTTTAAAATAAACGGTTTTTTTTTTTTAAATGATATTATTTGTCATGATAAAATGTTGTATAATATTGGGTGGGTACAGTGAAATAAAATTAAATTAGGTAATTACGGTAAAACAAAGACCACTCTCGTACTAAGCATGGCTTGATTTAACCCAAATAAAAAGGAAAAAAAATGCAAAATGTTAAAAAAAAAAAGAAAAGACGAAACAAATAGTCGTAGGTCTGTAATTCAGAGAGAGAACCAGCTCATAGGTCTCTCCTTGTGTCACAAAAGCTTTCTTTTTTCGATTAGATCCATCGACAACATTGCTTGAATTCGTTTCGAATATTCAAAATTCTATTCAAATAGGGCATTGCTCTATTGCCCGATTCGAATTGAATTTCTAATAGTCGAGTTTTTGGAAACATTGTCATTTTCATTAATTTGGAAAATTTTATCCATAGAAAATAAATTTGCGGATTTTATTTGAATTTTGAGCATGGATTCATTATCTGGGGTGAGCGAAGAGCTTGCGGAGATCGAGGGACAGATTTCTGATATCTTTCGAGCTCTTTCGTGAGTATTTTTACATTCTGTTCCTTTATGTTCCAATGCGCTTGTGTTGTTCATATTTATTTGATGTATCTCAATTTGTGTGCATGTGCATATGTACATTTATATACATAATGTGTAGGTTTATGTATTACTCAATTGACTAATTGAAAATGCAGGAATGGATTTCAAAAATTGGAGAAGATCAAAGACTCCAATAGGCAGAGCAGGCAGCTGGAAGAGCTCACAGACAAGATGCGCGAATGTAAGAGGTATTTGATTCAGCACCTATGCGTATCCATATGAACAATGCATGCAATGCGACCTCAGCAAGGATTGGTAACAATCAGTGAAGTAATTGTTAATTTTACCTTTTACATTAGACTACTTAAATGGAAAGGTTGAAAAATATTAAAAGTGAGATATTGGATTAAATTATTAGATACCAGATAAACATGGCAATTATTGTGATAAAATTTATGTTTAGTGATCACAGCCATTGAAATGGATAGCTAAGGGACGTGTTTAGAGGAACTAGATTTTAATAAGAACACCAATTGGGTAATTTCTTTCCTCAGAGTATTCTAGTATGGAAATGGGATGAAGTTCAAGCAAGTTCTAGGTATCAAACTGAAGTCGTATTATAAAATTAGGACTCCATGGAAACCCAAACTTGCACATATAATGAAAATGAACTAACTACTTAATCTTGGGACATCTTACTTTCGTTTCTGATCTTCAGTTGACCCACTGTCTGCATTAAGATTTGAACGTCAATCACAAGTTCATAACACCAGCTCAATGTGGTTTTAAATAGTGTTTATAGCCATAACTTGAAGATCGTATTATAAACAGATATTG